TACTTGGGTGGGGGAATGGATACAGACTGGCCAATTTGATACTGTCTTACCCCCACCAAAAGATCTGCTTGGAGATTAGGTAAATGCCCCTGTGGCTTCGTTGTATCGATCCTCACGGAAGCCGTTGATTAAACAAGGAAATGATCCCAGCAAGTGGCTAACGTTACCGCTTTGCGGAAATGAGGGCAATCTATGTGGAGCATTGATTACAAAATATTCAACTACGAACTAAGAGCGCAACAAATTATAAACGGATATTAGTACTAAAAATATAATTTAGTAATTGATTATTGATTTATTTCTACTTGAAACAGGTTATAATTAGCCACGGGCAGCCAGAGTAATAATAATTAAGGAGCCCATTTAATGATAAAACGGATGACACCCAGGCTTGGTTACAATACCGATCCCCCCAAAAAAGTGGTCCGACTCTGACAGCCTATATTATGCCATGCATTTATTAGCTTTCAGTTAATTCATATATTGGATGAGCGCGTAGAATATTTGCATTGAGCTGTCATTGTTCCAAATTTCTGTACGTGAACAATTGATATCTGTCACATCACAGCATTTCACATGAAAATAGATGACTTTATCAGTTAGTACTTTTTTCGTTCAGCCATATGAGCATGTGGAACGGATGACACAGTTTTCAAATTAATTATGTTAACTGGTATAATGATGTTACTCCTGAATGTGCCATCTGGATCAGTCTCTTTCTCTGCTTTTAAAGTAAGCCTACTTGCACTAGCCTGGGTGCAATCGATCCCCGTAGTATTCGCCCGCTCCCTAATGTCGCTAGCTTACCACTGGATAAAATTTCCACTGACGACAACGCTCATGCGTAAATGTCATCCTTACAGAGGCGAATAGTACTGATAATCTCCAGCTCTCGAGCAACGTAAACCCCGATGAAAGTTCCCCTGGCCAATTCCAGTTCTAAACCCGACTTTTCCCTGAATACTAGTAGTTATCCCCCCTCGTGGCTTTAAATCTCATAAAGAGACAATGCCGAAAAAAATATTCAATTCTTCATTCCTCCTCGACTCTGCATTGCAACTCGAATAAATTGAACTTCTCTGAAGGTCATATGCACGGGGCTGATCTTGTAAAGGTTAAGCTATGTCACCTTTGCTATTTCAACTTAAAGTCAGTCCTCAATCAAATTCTCCCGAGCCAAAAATCAAAGGGCACTGTGCGTCTTTTAATCTGCCAATACCTGGTTATACGCGTGGCTAAGCGGCGGTAGACTTGGCCTCAGTAATGCCAGCCGGCGGCTAGGATTAGGGGGGGTTATGGTCGGTCGGAATCGTGAGACGGAACGTTATGTTGCAGTTTCAAGTTTTGAGCAAATGTCATTCTGAGAACATTTCGCAGCCAATATTTTTTGTGTGCGTGTGTGTGTGTCGCGAGAGGCTAGCCTCCGTAACTGGCTTATAGAGGTGGAACTGTTTGGTGGTCTTCGGCTGTTTCAGAAAGCGGGGCCGGTAATTCAACCAGGCCGGCTATGTTGTTTATATGCAATCGGAAAATAACACATAAAAGCTCCCAAAGACCATGAAGACCCCCAAACCCACAGTTTTTGTCATGCTATGGAGGCTAAGAGAAGGCCCTTATATGTATATAGTGAAGTCAGTGAATTAAAACACTTCACGGTACGTCAATTTGGCAAGGTTTCTGCGTCATTGGGGTCAAGAATCAAACGCCACTGTATGTAGTAATGAGTTCTTAATGTTTTGCGTGTCGGTAACCCAAGCGCTAGCCTTTGAATAGCTTTAAATAACGTAACCGAACCTGAAAATTTTAGTTAGACAGAAGATTGCCAGTTGCATACTGAGCGAAGGAGGACTTTTTTTAAAATAAGTCGTCTAAGCAACTGAATACAAAATCTGTATTTTCTACTATCTCTCACTGTTCAGCATCAGAAAATCTCCTTACATTTGTTTGATATTAATTTTCTTCACCTGGAAGTGGCCATATTATTGGTACGATATTTTGATATCACAACGATGTTTACCTTATCATTCACTTTATGGAACACAAATGGCCAGTAAAGGCGCTGTAATCCTAGGTAAATAAGAACAGGGACGCTCTTGTCCATATTTATTGTACTGAACCACGATATATATTACTAGTAACTGGAAAAGCCGTCAGACATCACAACCTAATCTCCAAGCATCTCCAAGTTGTAAACATTGGCCAAGCAGATCCTACGTGGCAAGATAGACTGTAACTATTGGAGATAATTTTTTTCCAGCAAGTTTTGGAGGCCATTTTTCCAGCAATTTTTGTGAACATTTGGAACAATTTTCGGAGGTCATTTTTTCCAGGAATTTTTGGAGTTCCTTAATTTTAATTTAGGCAATTTTTGGAGGCCCTTAGCTTAGTTTTACGCAATTTTTGGAGTCCTTAATTTGGAAAATTTTTGGAGGTCATTTTTTCAGCAATTTTTGGAGGTCCTTAATTTGGAATGGGTATGACCAAGATGCATGAGGCCTTTGATTTTGAAACAGCTCACAGAAACAACACCCCTCCTTCAACGGAAAATGGTTTTGTCGGTTCCCGTGTTGCATGTCGGGACTTCAAGATGGCTGCGCCCATGTGGTAAAATTCGCCTGAGGTTTTGGCTTTTTCAAGCTTTTCGTCTGCGGTTTGTGAAACTTGAGGATACCCCACACACCTGGATTAGACGTTTCACATACTGCAGAACATCAGGATTTCCGCTGGTTACGGCTACATCTACTATGGCTGCTTTGTTACAGGTGACATTATTTGATACCCTTTCCGTCGTCTGAGAGCCATGTCATCTACATATTTGTGAAAAATATTTGAATATTTGTAAAAGACGAGTCAAAACGTTACTACGATTGTGTGAAGTTGTTGTTTATGAAAGTGCCAGAATAATTTGACAAAGATACATGGATATAGCCGGGGCAAAGAGCCAAGGAGATTAAAATGCCTTGGTAACCAAGGAGATCATATGGAGTAGAGTAGAATCTTCTTCCATGACATCAAATACTTTATGTATAGTTTGCTGACATGTTCATAATTTGGATGTAAGCATACTAATTCATAACATATGTAATACAAACAGTATGATACTATAAGGTGTAGGCTTTTCATATAGTGGATTAAAACTTCCATACAGTGTGTAAGATTTGTCATTAATTTGCATTTCAGACTCTGAGATCAGCATGCCATCTGTCCAGAATTTACCCTACAAGAACAGTACCAGCATTGCTGTACAGAAACCATGCCATTAGCTGCCACATCATAAACCCACGTGGAGCAGCGCGGTCTATCAACACGCTGTCACACTCCGTACAGCACAGACAACTCTTCAGAGGGCTGTCTCTGCAACAGGTGCTTCTCAACTGCCCCAGAACCATCTCAACTTCCAAGCAAAACTGTTTTGATCTGTTCGACCACGACGCCCCGAAGCCCCACGAATGGCAAACGCCAGACGGCCGCCTACTGTACAAGGGTGCCCTGGCTAATATTGTAACTAAAGTGAAGTTTTTCTCCTACTCGACCAGCCTTCTCGGCATATCGTTGATGACCCCTATCTTCTGGCACGGAGGCGTGAGTCACTTCAACGTGTTTGCACAAGTCGCCATCTATTTCATGAGTATAGGATTCATCCTTGTGTCCCCAGCAGTGCTGCATTACCTGTCGAAGGGGTACGTAGTACGGATGTACTATGACGCCGCAAAGGACCAGTACACGGTGGTCACATACAACTTAATTCTGCGGGAGAAGAAGACACAGTTTAACCAAGAGGACGTGAAGGTGCCAGAACTGAGGAGGATGTTCACCACTTTCATGGCGGGGGGGAAAGGGTACCTGGTGAACGAGGCATCGTTCTATCGTGCCCAGGACTATGATCATCTCATGGGATATGACAAGCCATTTGACTTTGACATGGACGTCCCAAAGGAAGAAACAAGCAAAGATAAAGACTCTTAAGGACACTATTGAGATGCTATTGACGAAACTTTCTACTTCATCAAGAAATTTGTATTTCTTTTAAAAAAAGTTTTAGTGTTGACATGCTGTGTAGATCTATCCATTGGGTATGGCAATTTCACTAATTGAAATTAGACTTCCATACATGTATTTGCATAGAAATACATGACTGAAATGTTATTAATAATAGACATTTGGAATCATTCTTTTTCTCAGTTTTTGTATTGTTTTAAGGTACTAGTATATCATTTGCTTGTGCTAAGTAGCTTTGTACAATTTGCATCTGTAAGGCTATTAAAGGTTGAGATTACAATGTACATTATTACTAGTATCCTTAATCAATTTACAGTTCTTGAGAAATTATTGTTCTAAAATCTTATCTGCTCAAATGAGAGAAAAACATACATGTACATGTACTTGTATTTGTATTAAATACTTTGCATCATTCAATGATGGCGTACCTGACGTTTGTATGTTGCTATATAACTTGATATAAGTTGATTTGATATACAACAAGATGGAATGAAAATCAGTTAAAATCGACCTTAGAATCTCTTGAATGTGCTGCTGAAATGTAGACACTGACCATAGCATTCTTGAAAGAGGGAAGGTCCCATTGAAGACCTTGATATCTATATTACTATATTATTACTAATTAACCTTTGGAACATATTGCATGCTGCTGCTTCCCAGACTGAACTAGAAGTCTACCTCAGCTGCATGAAAAACTCTGGAATCATCTGCAAGATGAAAAAGAACAGAAACTTGTGTTATGTGTATATGGTGACCACATGAACTCAGTTCTTCATGGAACGTGCTACATGATGTAACCCAACACCAGTTACCACTAGAGCTGTGTACCGGTACGCAGTACCGATACTGTACCGGAAAAATTGATTAGGTACAGGTCCAAAATACCTAATCCCTCAGTACCGGTACCGTACCTAAACAATTTCACACCAAATTTATGCCTATTTGTGACCTCAAATCGGTCCCTGTGTAAGGACAGTGTGTTCATGAAAACAAAAACATCTTTAGTTTTGCCTATATTTCATCTGAGCATTCGCCATAAACAAAGAATAAACCTTAACTATCAAGTTTATTAATGTTTTTTTGTTATTGAAGGAGTTCAGAAGAGCATATAAATTGGTCGAATTGTTCAGGTACAGGTTCAGGTCCGGACCTGTACCTAAACCTGTGTACCTGTACCTGTACCTGTACCTACAATTTGTTTAGGTACACAGCTCTAGTTACCACGGTGATAGATGTCTGGTCCTGGTCATTTACCTTATGTGTTTGGAACGGTAGAAGAAGAAGAAACTGAGCAAAAACAATATGTTTTCCTTCAGTAAACATAACTACTGCTCAACTAATGATTACTCCTTACCATCGCGCCCTGAGTTTCGGCACATGGCCCGACACAACAGCGCTAGTGCTGCCCCAGCCAGCATCCCACCCACACCTGATGCTGCTGTCATCAGGATTACTGTAACCAGTTGCACTCCACTTGTACCTGAAATTAGACATTAAAACAGTGTATATTGTCTATAATTAGTTACTCCTAATGATTGTCAACTCCAAGATATTTACATCAGTTGATACATTTATAATTACAGTTAAGTGTAAAGAAAAACCGATATCTGTCAAGTGCCCAACACCTTCAAAACTATTATGTTTTAGGATTTCCCTACACACCAACACCTAAAAGCCTTCAAGCCAGTTAAAGGATGATTTCTGCTCAGATAGACAGGCAGCACTTCGACTTGCACATGTAAGAATCTTGGGTTGTTAGAAATGCAATTTAAAAAGTTACCACACAGGGAACCTCCCCGTCTGGAGATGACATCATCACTCTCCGTCGTAGTCATCCCTGTTGAAAATTGAAAAACAAAAGAGGTTTGCTGTATCATTTGATATTTCTATGATCTCAACAAAGCTGAATACTAGGTACCACCAAAAGTTGCTTAATATTAGGTACCACCAAAAATTGCTTAATATTAGGTATCACCAAAAAATGCTTAATATTAGGTACCACCAAAAATTGCTTAATATTAGGTATCACCAAAATTGCTGAAATTTAGTTACCACCAATATGATTGCTTAATATTAAGTACCACCAAAAATTGCTGAAATTTAGTTACCACCAATAATTGCTTAATATTAGGTACAGTGCTCACCAACTATTTGCATCACTGACATTGGCATAAACCTGGGATCTGCATAAAATTCTGAAAACCCAAACCATTTCCCATTCACTACATTATAAATTGCATGGCATAATTGCATGAGCTGTTATGACTTTAACCTGATATTGGACTAAGATATTTCCAAGTCAATGGCACACTGACCCAGAAATACATGAAAGAAATACATGTAATTTGTTGCGCATCACAAATCTGCATGAAGTCCATTGTTATTAGTTCATTATCACCCCTGCACCCTCCATTGTCATACACTTTCTCTGTTGTCACTTCCTTCTGGACAGGTGAGAACCCCCAATCACTCAATGATGATTGTGTGAAGAAGTCCTTTGTTCCTTTTTGGTGTCCTTGATTGGGCTGTTGTTTTAGGTTTGGTAAGCTTTTGCCAGTACGAAGGTGGAATGTGTCTGATCTTCTATCTCCATGTTAGCCCTGTTCATTATGAGTTTCTGAATGCGACTTGAAGATTAGAATATGGTACATGTATGTAGTTGTGGGTGAAAGTGAGTATATAAATACCAATAACATCATGTTTGTGGTTGTTTCAATTGGCCCCAGCCCAGTATCATCCATAACCAACTGACCTCCCCTCCCTGTCAGTCGTGTGGACTCTCCTAAGGTTATTGGACTAAACCTGTTATAGGAATAAAATTCCCTGACAAATCGTCCATGCAAATAACAGGAGAGCACTGTACCACCAAAAATTGCTGAAATTTAGTTACCACCAATAATTGCTTAATATTAGGTACCGCCAAAAATTGCTGAAATTTAGTTACCACCAAAATTGCTTAATATTAGGTACCACCAAAAATTGCTGAAATTGAGTTACCACCAATAATTGCTTAATATTAGGTACCAACCAAAATTGCTGAATATGATGCTTACATTTGGATTATGTAGCTGTTAGGAACTAGGTGCGGTATGGAGACAAGGGAGAGCCTTGTTTACATACATGGCGAATAAATCTGTACTTCCTAAGTTTGCCTGTCAGATGAAGTCAACACAGGTGACGTGAAACGGTTCCGATGACGTGTGTACTCACCGTCAACCGTTAATGTTTGTCTGGCTGACGTCACAGGCGGGTCAGAGGTCGCCAGGTTCCTCACACTGCAGTAGAACTGTCCGGAATCTGTCCATCTCACAGATGTTATACCCAGGTCCATCTGAGCTCCAACTAAGGGATACATCAAATGTACACTTTTACCAAACGATAATGAAACTAGGAAGTAATGAAACTAGGAAGGTAACATTGACAAAGCAAATGCATAACGTTTACCTTCACATATGGCCTGCTCTGTTACTTCCTTTGACTCAAAGACATTCATATACATGTATATGGTGACAGAAGTCTAAATCCCTCCTGTTATAAAATGTGCAACATGATGTAACCCAACACTAGTTACCATGGTGACAGACGTCTGGTTCAGGTCATTTCAGGTTATTTGTTTGGGGAAGAAGAAGAGGAAGAAGAAGAAACAGACAAAAAACGATATGTTTTCCTTCGAATTCTGCGAAGGTAAACATAATGAATATCAAAAAGTTTTCTCTAACATACTGCGTTTAAAATATTGCTTGAGGCTTGAACAATTATCAGTCAATCCATATCGATCAAAATATTTAGTAATTAATCGATCGACATAAAGACATACAATGTAACCCACATTTCCATTCTATACGTAAATCATCGTGAAACATAAGAGGTGTACATGTAAAAGGTTAGAACTAGACCAATATCATTTAATCACTGATGCATAGTGGCAGTGGATCCGGAACAAACATTCGAGCAATGCTTGTCAAAACAAACAAAATTCGCCTCCAAGGACAACTATTAAAGTTTGAAAGTACTACTGTACAGCACTTACCGAGGGAAACTCTGCCGGCGAAGCTCTGTGCTGGGACCACGGCGGCGCCTGAAGTGCTGGTGTACCGGAGAATCACCTGAGCGCCCCGCTTCCACTCCAGCACGTACTCACTAGGGACGGCAACATCACACGGCAACTGCACGTCTGAACCCTCCTCACGTCTAATGGACGCACAACCTGGTACAAAGCACACACTCAGGGTTACACCTAACAGGAGATAATGCTCAAGAGGGACACTTACTGATTGCTTGGACATGTCATTTCAGGACAGCTAGGGGGAGGAATGGCCGCATAATGTTTTTCACGGATATTATAGGGTTCTCCTATGAGATTTCTTTTCCAAATACTCGAGTTAAAATGTCTTGCGAATGGTCTTAAAAGCTACATAACTTTGCCATAACTTTTCACGAGGACTAGAAGGTTATAAAAGGTTGTTGTGGAAGTTTGTGAGGATCACAGAGAAAGGTTGACAATGCCAAAGATTTTCTTCTTGCCCGAACTGAGACAAAAACGCTCTACCAGACTAACTACACTGGCTATATAGGAGAATATTTGCCAGCGGGGAGTTTGGCCGCCTTGTAGGTTTGACTGGCCGCGCAGCAGGGAAAGAAACTACCTTCCCGCGGCCGGACTCCCTTGGCCAATTTTACTCTCTTTTTTGTCGCCGAATTCTACGATCCGCATTCCTGTAGAAAGGCCTGGTGGAGGCTATAAGAACGCGCAGCTATTTGCCTGGAGCAACCAACCGAAACCTGTGTACGGCCGCCAGTGATCTGTTACGACAATGCACCAACAGACACGGCTGTAACGTTACACCTGTCCCCCTCTTGTTGAAACAAGCTCGGTGCTGTGCGCATCCTTTCTTGTCTACTTGTTGACACACGTACAGACAGGGTTTTATGACTGATGACCAGATGTGGGGGAGGGGCAGAGCTGTTGTGGGATTATAGATCACTAATTGTACGGTCAAATAATGTATGTTATTTTGAACACGATAGCTGGACCCATCTTCCGTTCACTAGACCTTTTATTAAAAAAAAGTTATATAACTACAATTGAGAGTTATGATAACGATATGTCAAACATACAGAGGGAGAAACTATACATCGTTGCAAATTTCCAGTTTGTCAGAAAAAGGCATTCCAGGTGATACTGCTTTACTAGTTCGTAAGTAGACGACAAAATGATAAATATACATACACGTGGATATCATTGCATCATTACTCCAAGCGAACACCACAGTGGCAACAATTTATAGCAGGAAAACTCACCTGAAACAAAAAATGCAAAGAAAATCAGCCACAAGGCTCCCTTGTGTCCTCTTGATGACATCTTGGGGGAAATACAATGAGCCTACGTCTCTCGAAGACGCCTGTAACTCGGTCATGCATGTCGCTGCCTCGGGCCCAGGACCTTACCAGTCCGGCCGGTGGAGGCGCATTTCAGTTCGAAGCCCTCCGGTACTAAACATTTCTTCCCTCGTTTTTCTTGTCGTGTAAGGACACACCGTCTTGATTTTATGGATGTCATCCGCGCCGTGCGCGAATTGAAAAAAAATCACGTCCTCCGAGGCTCTAGGCCTGGGTAGTCCATGGTAGTTAGCGACAATAGGGCTACCGAAGCCCCACGACTCAAGAACTCAGTACATGCGTACATTCATAAATTCCACAAAAAGCCAGATGTGCCGGCTTGTCGTATACCTCGCTATGTACTGCCGCAAATTCACAATACCAGCTTTGTATTCCTGTGGTTTAGTAGCATTTTTATTTTTGGCCGGATTTCTTTTTATTCGCCCCCGCGCGCATTAGTTTGGGGGTCTTCAGAGGATGTCATCCATAAAATTAAGACGTTGTGGCCCAAATTTCGAAATTTAACTAACCATTTCGGACCTTCAAATCCGTTAATTTGTCTTGATACATGTAGTAAGTTCATACATAAGCTCCCTTGTACGCCCAATACTTTTATATGTGTACAACATCTTATTCGGTGCCGGAGCAAGAAAAACGCATCCGGATGTAAGATCTAGACCACACATGATGACGAAAAGATAAACGGATGCACGGTAGCACGGGCGGAGTTATTATATTAGTAGTAGGTCTGTTCAACCTTCCATTCACTAACCGACAGCGACCTCCTGAGTTGGTAACAAATATGATTCCACAGTCTTGAGAGTTCATCTGTGTTGGTAGAAATTATTATGAATCTTGGACACAGAACCGGACTTGTTTGCACGAGGGATTAAAGAGACCATATACATAAGGGCATTACAACCATCCCTCAAAAGAGACGGGGGGCGCCACAGACTTTCTGCAACCTATGATCCACAGCTCACAGAGTCACGTGTGTTATATGCGTGACGACACGGAAGCGATGGATTCCTCATCCCTTAAAAAAGACTGGCGCTGTTCAGTGGAAAATTGGGTGAGTCCAATTTGTAGTGTTGAAAATTGCAGTTTAAACTTGCTTCATAATGATTCAACAGTGACAATGAAAGATATAGTTTCAAGCTTTATTGAATTATTAAAGTGTATAATGACAACGACCTGAATTCACTGTGTCTAAGAATTACAACTTAAGTGCACTTTGAATTTGCCTTCACAAGGTAAAAGAAACCCTCTGGTGACTATGTTGAAGTTTGTTCTGATGTTATGTATTGATGAATCTCAAGTTCGGGTGTACATGCATATGCAATACATACATGAAAAAAACAACCCAGATCATTGTAGTGTCCAGCGACTCTGGTGGCTTTGTTCTAATGTTATGAAGTGCACGTACACTGAGTTCTTCTTAATCTAATTACACGCAGCATTTCATAGTTCCGCGAAGACTGGATCAAATTTCGTCACGCCAGCTTCCACGGATCCGTTTGGCCAGCAGCAGGTCCCTGGGAACGAGTCGCCGCGGGGACTTCTGGGAGCAGATGCGCTGGTCCTTCCAAGTCTGTCTCAGAATCGCCAACATCGCCTTTCCCCTCGACATGTCATGGAGACGTTTAAGAACCAGATTACCTGGTAATAGATAATCGGAAAAAAGTCATAAACAGAAAGACATAGTACAGGGATCTGCTTAAGTTATTTTTGTTCAATTTGACATGTTTTTGATAGTCTTACTTTATTGTTTAGTCAATTAGTTAGTTAGTTAGTTCGTCGTGTTAACTTTATATTATTTTGTATCTATTTTGATTTAATTTGTTTGTTTTGTTGTCACTTATTTATTATACACGTGTGTAAAAAGAGGTCACAAAAACAATTGGATTTTAGGAGAACCCACTCGATAAACCCTTAGGTTTCTTGGGTTCTCCCGCACATTTGGTTGTACATAGTCATTAAATACTATTTTCATGTGCAAACTGAAATAAACAATAAACAAACAAAACAAAAAGTTACTGGGATTTAATAGTAGACTGGGTAAATTATACAAATAGATCCTATAATTATGTAACAAAATATGCTGTGAATGTTTTGAAAAGAGAACAAGGACTAGAAGAACATATTTATTTTTTGTAGTTTGAGTTTACAGATGTTTCTTTCAGACTTATTTGAAAACAATACGACATTTTATAAAAGCCAAATAAGATAAAAGAAAGAAATATATGTGTCTCTTGTACTTGTTTTTAGCTCAAAAGCACATTGTTTCAATATCTTGGACCTTGGTTATTCTAAACAGTGTTGCTTTCATCCACAATACAATACTACCGGTATTCAGAGAGTGGCTGTACCACATTTTCTGCAGTGTCTATATACACTTCTATGTACATTTCTGTAATGTCTATGTACATTTCTATGTATTGTATGTTATATTGTAGTCCCTATTTGTACTTAGAGGGAAAGATTCCCAAATCAGTATTGTTTTACTTAACTCTTTCAATATTTCTGATTCTTGGATTTATGTATGATATAATGTCTGATGTGTGACATTTGCATTATATATACAGCTGACTTCTGTAGTTTTTGAAACTGAAAAAAAGTTTATGGAGCTGAGAGCAGTAAAAATTAAGGAATTGAAACTACGAGTTTTGCACTTTCTTGTGCTTGGTGCTGTACGCAATCCACACACACACACACACACACAAGCAAGCGTACCTGCAATTGGTGCTGAACAGAATCTATACATAAGCAAGCATTGCTGTCCTTGGTACTATCTGTCCTTGGCACTAATCACCATCTGTGCACAAGCAAGCATACCTGTCCTTGGTACTGAACACCACCTGCTCACAAGCAAGCATACCTTTCATTGGCACTGAACACAATCCACACACAGACAAGCATACCTGTCCTTGGTGCTGAACACCATCCACACACATGCAAACATACCTTTCCTTGGCACTGAAATCTACACACAGGCAAGCATACCTGTCCTTGGTACTGAACACCATCTGCTCACAAGCAAACATACCTTTCATTGGCACTGAACACAATCTACAGACAAGCAAGCATACCTGTCCTTGGTACTGAACACAATCCACTCACTAGAACTGAACACAATCTACACACACACAAACAAGCATACCTGTCCTTGGTGCTGAACATGACACTGACAACAAAGGAGACAACATTTTCCCGACAAGAGTGTTTTCTTATTCGTAGAAACGGATGCTGCATGAAATCACATTGTAGGTCTAAAGGACCTGTCCATACAAGATGTAAACAAAAATGCCAGCTTTTGTAACGCAAGTAACATGGGTTGTAACTAAGGTCAGCTCAAGGTCACGTTCCATTTTAGGGATGAAATAAACAAAGTTTATTAAGTGAGTTTATTTATATGTGTATGAAGCTATTGGCTTCGAAAACTAAGTATCCAAGCAGATACGGTGCTTTGGTGATATGTCGGGGTATAATTTCATCAGCAGTATATCAGAACTCAGATAAGCATATAGGTTGGATCAAAGTATAAAGGCCCCTTTCACGGCACAACAAGAAGACGTGTGCCACAGAGCCAGCGATCAGCACACCAACTGCGGCCAGCACGATGATGGCCTTGCTCCGTTTGATACGTTTCAGCCCACGGTAGTGCTTTCTCTTGCGGCTCTTCTCTTCATAATGTCTGTCAGCACGGCATCCAAGTACAGATTCAAGTCTGTAGAGTTCTTCGCGTGGACGTTGTCCATAGCAGTACTAGAGTCCATGCTGTCGACGCCGCCGCTGGATTTCTTGTCAAGTGAGCAGTTCGGCTTGGGCTCCAGGTGAGTCGTGTTAGCGGCGGAGCTGTCGTCTGTCGCCGGGTAGGTTTCCGAGTCGTGGCGAGGGACTTTGGAAACGCGGCGGCGAACTCGGGCGTTACTGCAGTGGTGCCCTCCGGTCGTGTAGCCCCAGTCGTGTGCCGCTTCTCCCTCTTCGTCACCAACTACATGAGGTGGGACGGTTGGGACCTCGGTGGTACTGTCGACGCCTTCCGTGTGATTCTGCTCGACACGGAACCGCTTCCAGCCTTCAGAACGGAAAGTCTCCGTCTGGTTATCAAGAACTTGGGCATTCTCTGCGTGGCCTGCCGGAGGGGTCATGCCCATCGGTACCTGCAATTGAGTACGTATACAAAGTATCAGAGAGTGTATATTTACATTGAATGATAATTGCAAAATTATGCCCGAAGGCTAATTCCAAACAAAAGAAAGCCAACCCTCTATGGTTTTCTCTAAAAAGTTCTGTGCATATCTTGACTTAATGATAGTTATTTATACGTTTTTCTGACTTCTAAATGCCGTATACGTTTGCACACATTTAGTTTGTGTTTTTTTTAAAGAAAATACAATTTGCAGCATCTGAAGTTTTTTACTGAAAGGTATTTGTTACGTATTACTGACAGTGTCTGTAATTAAATGAACAACAACCTTCATTTTGTGTGATTGAAAAATGCTTCCAGGGAAACTTTCACGTTTCCCTACAAAATCAGACAAAATGTATACGTATGACATGTTTATAACAAGTAAATCAATTTTTTTTTAAATTCTTACCATGGCATCTGGGGTCAGAGGGGCAGCAGTGGAGGCCATGCCGTCCGGACCGTTGTGAATTTCAGTGTCGTTTTGAACGAAGTCACGCGGCTTCACCTGGACTCCTTTCCATCCGCTGTGCGGGGAGAGACCTTCTGAATCTCCGCTTCCTGCTTGGTCGTCTCCCTTGCTCCGGTACGGAGGAAGGCTGATGGTAGGCTTATCCTCACCAGTGTTGGAGAGGGACTGTGCGGTCATAACCACAGCAGCAATCTAATAATAAGAGGAAAAAGATTCATTGTCAGAATAAGGACCTAGGCCTGTGTGGCTTTGAAGCTTTTTGACTCGGAAATAACTCTGAATCACTTGTAAACTTCTTTTCAGATGTCAAAAAGAATAAGGCAGATTATATTTAGTATGGGAAATACAACAACATCCTAGACGTATCATGTTCGTCATTATATTGTTTACACATCTTACTGACGGTAAACATTGTTCAAAGCCTGTCTAGTGATGTTGCCCCTACTCTATTTGAGTGGCAGCAAGTTCAACTCTACAGTAGTTCTAACTAGAGAAAAACGAGTTTTTGAACATTTAAATCCTTGAAAGAAGACCAGAGTGACTATTTGAAAGCTCTAGGAGAGAACTATATCTTGTGTTGGCACAAAGTTAAGTTTTAACTTCAAACATGTAACTACCAATTAACACAGACGAACTTTCATGACCGAAATCTTAAATTGTTTTCGTAGAAAACTTACCGAAGTCACAGCAACGAGTATCAACACGGTGATCGCGGCGGCTTTCAAGAACCGCAGACGTCCACCCTTCTGGTCAGCATGGGTGTCTGAGGGAGGGCAGCGCGGGAAGGTTACCGCCCGGGACCGCCGGTGCCTTCGCCGGCCACGTCGTCTCGACATATCGTCTCAACTGATGAACTAAGGACAGGAGCAACTAAAATGTGCTACCGTCGCTTCGAACAGCCAGTGGTAACTGTAAACAGTTTTTGTCGAACGCCGTTGCTAGTCTGGAACACCGGGGGTTTTTACGTTCTGGAACAACTTTTCGAACAGCGGATCGTTGTCCTTAGTTGAACTTTAGTGAAACGCGTCACATTTTCCTTTGTAGGAAGACACAACCGTATAGGCCTCGGAACGACAAACTTTGTACATTTTGTAACTCCAACCGTGTAGAAAATTTTAATTTTGTATCAGAGTGTATGATAGAGTTATTGGACATACATAATTCTTTTGTCGGTGCCCTGAATTTAGATACACGATGTAAACAGCTGCTGAAGCCTTGTATGTTCTATTCTTTGTAAACGATAGATATATAGCGTAGCGGAACTTTAGGTTAGTTGTTTTGTTCCGACGTTGGCTCCTATTAGTAATAATTCTTTACGCAAAGATCCATGTGAAACTGCATTTAATGCATTTAGCCCACCATGATAGGCAAGTGCAAATAACGATCATTCATTCATTCAAAAAAATAACAGGTGTCCATAGGCGACACTTCTCCGTCAAGTTTTATATTTGCAGATTGAGAACAGTAATAGTGTATGTAAACAGTGTGTGAGCACTTAACAACTGGTAACAACGTATCGTAAAAATGGTAGATTTCTAATGTTCAAAGAAACTCGAGGAAGAAAAGGCGACGGGGGGGGGGGCAGAAATACTCACCTGGTCTGTAACGCCCTTTCTTTATCCCTCTTTTTTGTACGCATGGTGCCAGGCGTGTCGTCTTTCTGTCCCCGGTCTGTCTTCGGGCTGAAGCCCGTGGTCTTACCATGATGAACAGTCGTGTAGGTGATTTACACGCCCTGCGTTATACATGTACAACAAGGAAGATTGCGTCTCAATCGGTCACTCCGCCCAGGACCCGAGTCGCCGCGTCTGATGAAGTGATCTCAGTCCAGCTGTATGCGTAGCACCTGTTAAGCATTTATCACGTACGTTTCTTTGATTTGATATCGCGATCAAATTAACAACTTTGACAAGCTGTTTGCAATTAAAGCTGACCCCAGCCACAATTCAAAAGTTTTGTGTAGTACATTTTGTACCTTTCATTTCCATTGGGCCCTAATGAAATGATATTGTTCTTTAGATGCTAGTAGTCCCTTTGCGTCTTTTAAACGTTGGATGAGTAAACTTAACGGTAACGATATCATTTTATAGCCCTTAATATTTTGCTTTCATGGACATGTAAGGAAAGGCTATGGTACCGGTACCACCTGTTGAACTATGTTTGAATTGCAATGTAACAGAGTATTTCGACAATAAGGCTGATGCCGTTTTGTAATGGAAAACGATAAGGTTAGAGTTGTGCACGTTACTACTCAAGCGGTCGATCTTCAAAAGTCCGATATACAAATTTGATTGTATCTACTCCCCCCGTATTGTTTAATAGACTATTCTTGTGACCCAAGGCACGTGACTGAGCTTCACACAACCTGGAAGGTACCACAATAAAATGGGGAGAAATGTTAAACATTGCTTTTAAAAATCCATTATTTCATCAAAACAAATACATCAAAATGTCACTATGATCAGACTACATATAAAAGAATGCATTAAGATATTTGAATCTTATCTATTTAGGCTGCAAACCTTTATCCCTCTATTGATGATTTTTAGTTTGTCCCAAAAGATAAGAGAAGGTGGACTGACCAGGTCGGGCGAGTCGAGTGGAGAAGAACTAGGTCGCACACCGAGAAGTTTCCAGCTCAAAAACAGCACCATTATGGGCGAGCAAAAGAAAGAACAGCCGGACTTGAAGCAGTTCTCACAGGAGGAGGTGGACAAGCACACCACCGGCACATCGGCATGGATCGTGATCCACGATAAAGTGTACGACGTGACCAAGTTCTTGGAGGAGGTAACTGTTAACGTTTTTAGCGCCATGCTTTTGCCAACATCATTCACATCTGTTAGAAAGGTTGTACCCTTATACCACGTACCGATCGACCTTGCAGTGTGTGCATGACCATCCAAAACCTCTTTTAAGTTAACCTTGCCCCTATGAAACATACATGTAACTACCACATTTGTGTTGTGTGGGACTTGGATTCCATAGCGTGTAGGGAGGGGACATAAACTGGGGAGGGGGGCGTCCACTTTGATTCGTACCGGTAAATTTATGGCATTTGCATATGTACACCATAAATAGTTGTGATCTTTTGTATAAGGAAAATCTATCGATGTACAATGTTACAGCACTACCCATGATAAAGGGAAGAACTAGGAAACTCAGTAGTCATAGTTTGTTGAAGGTTTGCCCGCTTGGTCAGGATTCTTTGGTCACGTCATACACGTCCACCAAGTAGACCGACAGGACGTTGACCTCTGCACTTTAATATGTTAGTCATCTCACGTTTGTACAATGTAGCAATAGCTACACCTATAATGTTTTGTGATGATCACAATTCAAAATTGGGTCGTCTCATAGTTACATTCTTCACATGTGAACTTTGTCACAATCTCACATGTTATGAGGTGACAGATGAGGAGGTGATACACTTTTGATAAGCCAGTTGAGGGTCAGGGTCGCTACTGACTGAGTCCCTCTCAAAGTTCAGTTTTCACTATCTTGGTGGAATGTTCTCCCTGTGAGCTTGTCACAAAATGTGTGCATGTCAGGCCTGTCTTTTTCCAGTTTGAGACAGAACAGAACTGTTATTGTGTAACATCACTTGTACACATACTAGCATTTTGGAATAGAAAAAATAAAGCGCTTTGCTTGTTCCTATCCCTACCCTTTCTGTGCGTTGGCCTTTTTGGATCAAATATTTCTATATTTGTTTTTGTTAATCATACATCTACTTATGACTGTACTATAAGTATAACTATAAGCACATTTCTTCAACATTACATGAAAGTAGCCAACAAGAGAAGCATTAACTTCATTAAAAAAAATAACTTTGTATGTAACATCTGTGTCCATAATATCACCAGGGTCCATAATATCGCCACTTTGAGAAATAGTGTGCTTTAAGATATTTTTACTGCAACATACTTTTGGTATGCACTCCTGCACACCTCAAATGTACATACGTAGGGTATGTTGCAGTAAAATATCTTATAAGCACACTTTTTCTCAAGGTGGCGATATTATGGACTATGGTGGTATTATGGACACAGATGTTATAAATGTTTTTTTTATCTCCTTCACAGCATCCAGGTGGAGAGGAGGTTTTATTGGAACAGTCAGGTGAGAAATCTGTTTTCCTATTTTGTTTGTATTACATGTATTTACTTTTGAGTGGTGCCACTCTTAAGGTAAATATACTGTTTCCCATTGATAAGAGATAGAAGTTTGTTATATGCATAGACAATATATTAAGAACTGAAGGTATTATACTTTGTTGATTATGTTCATTTTTGTTGATTGTGTTCATGAAGAGAAAATTGAACAGAAAGGACTTTTGGACCATAAATGTTCTGTTTGACTTTGACTGTACTCTAACGCATTGCACTGAAACAAAGTGCATAGACCACAGTGTTATTCTTTATTTACTGAAAGTTGTGTTATCTTTTTAGACATCAATGTTGATCATAAGTTAGATTGCTCACCATCTATAGTAAATTATATATAAAACACACATTGGTCAGTACCATTCTTATTCCTTTCATCTTAATATAAGAGGACAAGTGGTTGACTATTTTTTCCCCACAATTCCGTTGTTGAACCTGCAGGGAAAGATGGAACAGAGGCTTTTGAAGATGTGGGTCACTCTGAGGACGCCCGTGAGCTGATGGAAAACTACCTGATTGGCGAGCTCCGGGATGTAAGTATCAGTTCAGGCTTCAGAACTGGCTCCTTTGGTAGTTGGCACTGGACAAAAAATGAGGAAATCGTCATTCGTTGAACATTCCTTGCCCGATTTCCTTTTTTGTCTTCTCATATTGTCTTGTATGGTTTTGTATTTCCCACAGGAGGACAAAGCAGCAAACAAATATCCAGTAAGTTCTTTTTTCTGATTTGTAGCACTGTTGAAGGATAGACATATAAATGTTAGGTGCTCGTAGCAGGAAAAGGCGACTGAGGTCCCTTTTCAGTATATTCAGTGCATGGAAATTTAAGTATTTCCTAAGCCTATACTAGTAGTTTGAGGTACAGGTGGTAGCCATTGACTGTACGTCAAAGTGACCTAGCTGCTTGTGATATGCAAATGTATAAAATTTGATACAAAGTTTGCAAATGTAACAAATTCCAAGCTGTGTCTAGTCCTCCCTACTGTCAGAGGAATGTGTTTTTGGGAAAGTGAGTGTTCCAACAGTTTCATCCTTGGGTTCACAATATCATATCATATATTTCCAACTCCAAGAATCTTTTAAAAAATGCCATGTGTTTCTGCCCTCAGGAGAAGCGAGACATGTGGAAGTCGTCTGGCAATGGCAGCACGTAAGAAATGATACTCACCATTTAACCATATGTCTGTGTAACTTAATGGAACCAATAGAAGTCTTGTGCTTTGGGTAATGAATTGTGCACACACACTACTCACATACATGTACTGTACATGCACACCACATGCACACATAAAAATTCAGGAGTATATAGAGGGTTTCATGACAATGAATGTCCTTTTTGCCAGGACATAAAGAATATCTTTGTTGCTGGTCACTCGTAGTCGTACCTATGTGACTTACCATACCAATAAAATAAGAACTAACAGTAGCATCTGTTTTGAACCATTGTTTTCATGAACAAGGTTCAGTATATGATTTCTTTAATGCATGTATCTGATAAAGCTATTCTGATAAAGCTATTTAATATATACCCAGTAGGTGCACTCTACAATGATGCAGGCTTGATATGCAACCAAAGCTTTCTTAGGTAGGCCCCATCAACTCTGTACACAGTGCATCTACCAGATACATTTCTCTATTGTAGCCCAAATGAACAATGAAATATTCTTACCGGGTTTTCACAAAGATAGTTTGTTACACTTACAGGCACAATATTTTCACTATGCATACAAATTATACGTCGATGAAGGTTAGACATCCAGGTAATACGATAGGCCAAAAAGCAGTTACTCAAGCAACAGGATATGATCCAGTAACTTCTTTTTGGCGTAGAATACAAATTATATTTTTTGTCTCGTTTGGGTCTTTGGGAGGTTGTGTTTTATTGTATCCTAAGGTCAAACTAGTGGAATGCTAACTTCTCTATTTCTCTCTTTCATGTCCACAGTCCCTGGAGCAGTTACCTTCTTCCTGCTGTCATCGCCATTGTTGTGGCTATAGCCTACCGGGTCTGGGCAGCCAGTTCCAGCTAAAACCGGTCGCATCTACACACCATGTTGCTAGGTCCAAACACCATCCTTCATCTGTAATCCACCACACAGTCTTTTACAAGTGGTTGACTTCTCCACACACAACCTACAACAGCACTATAACTGTCTGGCTATATTGATTTAAATGCCCAATTCTTCACATTGTCCTATTTGAGAGAACCATAGCAAAGCAAAACCTGTATAATTGTTACCCTGTATTATGTATGCACCTTGCACACATTGTGGAAGTTATTTTACCCACATGTAAGTACAAAGTCAGCAGCCTGTGTTTTTCCCCCGTACCATTTGTGTAACATTGCATCAAGAAATAGGCTTCAACATTGTTCCCTTGCTTTGTGCACTGCATCCAGCTTATAATGTAGGGTAGGGGGTGAGGCAAAACTGTATCATGTTTTTAGCTGTGGTCCCCCCCTCCCCAAACCATATTAACTCATTAACCCCCAGCACATCTAGTTCAGTGCATTGTGTCAAGATTCTGCAACATTGTTGTCTTATGCTCATTCCAGCAGCATGTTAAATTAATTAATCAGTTACCTTGAGAATTTAGGTATCGAGAATAATTAAATCAGTTCCTTTAGGTATCAAAACTTTCAACTGTAATAGCTTTGCTTTTGTGATTTATTGAAAAAACATGTATTTATGGTAGTGATATACAAGTAATCTCCAAAGGGAAAATTAGTAATTATTGTAGGATGATAGCTCGTGCCATTTTATTACTATAATTGATGATAATTCTAGGGCCTATTCTAATAAACTCTTTTGGAAAATTGTATTGATTGAGGCCTTTGTCAGATATAGAGAACATAACATACTATGAGATTATTCTTATTGACTTGCCTCACAGTAAAATGTTCAATGTGTTACAAGAAATATTCAAATGATATCAGAAACGACTCTTGTTAGTTGTGTGACTATGGACACTTTGTAGAGTAAAGTCAAAGAATACATTTGTAGGGTGATGCAAAATTTTCTAGGTTTCAGTAAACTAATGATTGTGGGTGTTCACTCTTCCGTAGCGTTAACTCACTCTGTTAACACCTTTAATGTAATAAAATCTATGGAGTGATAAATTGAAGTTATCACAGATCTAGTCTGTTTTCTTTCATATATAAGATAGGTAAGACATTTTGGTAGAAGACTTAAAACACATGACATATTAGAAGTGTTGCTGGTAAAAATATTATTGAATGTAATATACATATATATATATACATAGCTATGTATATCAAATTAGTAACAAACACCATAGTGTTAAGCACCATGTGCACATAATCTGCATGACTGCTGAGTAGTAACATATATCGCAGCTACAGGTACTGTAGATAATAACTTGTTGCATTGAAGTTGCATTTTGAGAAGCAGGATGTGTTCTATGAACCACAACAGAATTACTATGCAATGAAAATAAGTATAATGTCAAATATTTTTTAGAACAAACAGTTATTGTTGAAGAGTCCAGATTCAAATTAATCCCACCCATAAACCAATGACATTGAATACAAAATTACCTCCTAGATGGAGGAAACTTGATTTAGAAAAAAAACTGTCTAATGAACAAAGGTGAAATATTGTAAATGCAGGGTAGTGAAGGATTGATGCAAAGTGACTAGCCTCCACATCAGGCTTCTTGGTTGGACTTCAAACCCACCAAGCAATCAGCTGGCATACAGCCTGGTTGCCCAGTCATGAGGCCTGCTATGGAGGCTAACTGTGAACCCCTTAATAGCGCCCTCTCACGGCCGGTCCATGAACTCCAGGTGGACCGGGTCTCCTGGCACCAGCAGTGCGCGCGTCACGGGCCGGACTGTCTCCCCTGGAGTCAGCTGTCTCACCTCAAACGTCTGCACCAACTGAACAACAGAACAATTATCGTAATCTCCAAGCAGATCTCTTTCGGTGGCAAGACAGTATCCATTTGATCAGAAGTTTGCCGGCCACCGACGGGTGTAGCGACAAAAAAACGGCCATATATACCGTATAAAAAGCTAACGATCATTCTCCCACAACCTTTGCTTGAAGAGTACAATTATCGATATTTCCCTGGATATTTCAGCGCAAAACGAGTTTTCGCGGTCAGGCGCTATCCAACAGCCGTGGCAAATCTTTTCAGCCTGTAGGCAGATCGTAATGTTCCTTTGGACATCCAAAAAATTACTCAATTTTTTCTATTAATTCAAATCTTTTTTTTGTAATTTAAATCTTTTTTTAAATTTACATTTATTCTATTTACACGACAATAAATAAATGAACTATCGTACTACTAAACCTCGTTAAAACCTTAGCTATCCAGTAATGATTTTGATCAGTGGAATGGAGACTGTGCAGCTAGAAGACTCACCCTTGCAAGGACCAAGTACATCTCCATCTCTGCAAGTCGCCGGCCTGTGCAGGTAATTATACGAAAAATGTCAAGTTTTTACAAATGAATGGAGAGTAATTATGTTATTGTTGGATATTTAGCACTATCATTTTCAAAATCAGTAGTAGACTAATAGTACTAGAAAAGACAAGAATGCAAAGTGACTGATAATGAAAGTTTACCTGCGCATTGTCTGGGTCCGAAGCCGAACGGCACCGATGAGAAGGTGTTGACCTTCTCCGTGCCCATACGGGTCCAGCGGTCAGGGTTGAACCTCTCCGGGTCCTCAAACGCCTCGGGATCACGCGTCATGTTGTAGTGAAGTATTGCAAACTGCGTCTGTAGTGAGTGTTTACACATGGTACATCTTAGAGTAAAGAAATTCTATTATCATATAGACAGATAGCGTTGATCAATCAGAGGCTATTTGCTATTGGTAATGACACCATAACACACGTACACCCAGCGGTCATTAAATCCCATAAACACCGGAACCAATCAGTGTAGACCGATATGGCCGCCGGTGACGTCATAGGAAACACGTTCGCTACGCTCACTTGGTGATTTATTCGGTGGTTATCACACCTGACCATGGATTATCTCACCATATACACCTCGGGGCGGGGCATTGACCCTTTATCAAACAGTTTCAGACAGCACAGTCCGGCAGTTGCACAGAATCTTAGCCACAAAGAAAGGCAAGACCTACCCCTTTAGGAATATTATAGCCACCAAGCACGATGTCTTTGTCCAGAACGCGTCCATTCGCCGGCAAGACTGGATACACTCTACATAAACATGTCAAAGCAAAGCACAAATTTTAGGAACCAGATATTGCCGACCCCCGCTGAGCGTTGCGATAAGTGGGACGTTGAAACGTTCATTGAAAAGTGCAGTGTGCCGTTGTGCAAGTGCACTGAGCTTTGGTATGTAATCTTTACATGGTAACAGTGACTAAATACTTTGTAAAATGCACTACATCGTTGATTTTATTTGCACACATTGGTAAAAATCTCAAAACATAACTCTATGTATATTTTTTATATCTATACCTATTTTACGTACTTTTCCATGTGGCTTCTGCTCTTTAACAATTATCGGACGGGAAGATTGAATGGAATCATTGTCTAAAAAGCACTTCGAGTCAAGAATAGATATTTCTCACTGTTACTTGTCATTGTACCATACTAAGTACCTCAGTATCTCCTTGATGACGTTCTTGAGTAGCGGCATGTTCTTGACGTCCTCAACAGTAGGTGTCTGTCCGGCGGACACCACGCCGGTGACCTCACGGTGCAGTCTGTCCTGCAGCTCCGGGTGGCGAGCTAACTCGTACAGGGTCCACACCATCGTGTTGGACGTCTGAACGAACAAGGACACTGTAAGGGTTTTGGACACTGAACAAGACTATTTTCCTGAGATGGGCGAAGGAGGCTATTTACATCAGGGCCCACCACTCTTCACTTAACCGCGACGGGGGCCGACATCGTCTACCAGATACCTTTGACCCAGTGTTGACGTCACACTCCAAAGAAGCCACGTGAGAAGCCTCACTGGGTCAGTCTACTGAGGAAGACCAGAGTGACTGGTTGAAAGCTCTAGGTGAGAGAACTGAACTTTTTGTGTTGGACCAAAAGTTTTAACTTTAAACAAACAAGGACATATGTGAGGACACGGATACTTAACTGTACCAGGCTAAATTTGGCTATTGAATCTTTAAACAACATTCAACTGTTCGGGTTTGCAGGTTTATGTACCGTGTCCACTCCTGCCAGCAGCAGCTCGGTAACAGTGGCGTACAGGTCCTTCTTCGTCACGTCTGTCCCGGTCAGCATGTAGGTCAGGAACGACCCGTCCAGCTCCTCTCCACGACTCAGCCTGGCGTTAATGTCCAGCACTTTCCTGTCAATGTTCTCGTGAGCTGCAAGAGTTGCGCGAATATTAGCCTCCTGTTCAGGCCTCCGGGTGGGTGGGCGTTTTGACACTGCGTTTTTTGGCATTTAGAATGCGTTCCTTTGCCGGCCATCCTACAACCATCCGCCCAGAGAAGGTTTGTACCCGCTACCTTCTTTGGGCAGCTGGTTGTAGGATGGCCGGCAGAAGAACGCGTTAAAAATTCCACAAAACGCAGTATCAAAACTCCCACCAGCCCGGAGGCCTGCACAGGAGGCTACAACATAGGTAAGTTGTTCTTACATCACAGCTGTGGGAATTCTGAGGCATAACTATCTCTAGTCCAACAAAGAAACGAAACAATACACGTGTAGATTGCCTTCACAACATTGAAAACAAGTCCTAAGTCTTATGAGTTGCTAACGTCTACAGTTTGCTGCACCCACGAGCTTCAAACAATTCATGCTCCGACTTGCACACAATGATGGCGGGACAAAACTTGGAGACTTGAAATAGCACACATCGAGACCGTCCTTGTAAAAACAAAGAACTTACCGACACCGAAGATGGTGTCCCACGCCTCCACGTGACGCTGCCAAACCCTGGGCTTGAAGTACGTCAGCATCCACGGCTTGAGGGCTGATATAAGAAACGCCGTTTTGAACATGGTGGCGATGGAGTCGATAAACTGTTGGGTCTTCTCTGGCACTTCCCTCTCCAGGCACCCAAGCCGTGTGTCGAACAGAACTGTGGCAATGGCTGCAAAAGACACAAAACGGATACTATACGACATTCACTCAATTTAAAGCATCAATAAAAAATCACAATGGCTAGTACGTTCGAAATGCCATAGTAGAAAATACCATTATGATAGCGATCTTGTTGCAAGGATATTAGCAATGGACGGCCGTCACGGTTGCCTAGGTGACAGACGCTGGCGTTTTATAAGCGATAGATTTTTTTTTGGGGGGGGGGATCCTAATGTCAACTCTCCAAGCAGAGGTTGATGGTGGAAGATCGTTTGCTTTTTATATATGGCCCGTTTTATCCACCATCAACCTTTGCCTAATGGAGAGTACTAATGTCTGCTACCAAGAGTATCCGCCCAAGCGCTTTATCTTTCACGCCGGTAGCGAGGGGATCCAGGGTGTCAAATCGGGTTTAGCGGGGCGTATGGCTTCTCTGGCCGGAGGGATTATCACTCACTCTCTGGCACCCAGGCTACCGTCACGGGCACTACGCTAGGAACATGCCCAAAGGTTCATCGTTGTAAAAAAAAAACCTACACTCCATGGCCCATTTGTACAGCTCGTTGGTGAGGTCCGGCACGGTCTTCCCTTCGCCACTGCTGTCCCTCAGGTACTTAAACCTGGCGATCATGTCTGTCACAACCTCATTCATGCTGTCTCCGTATCTATGGACAGAAATCAAGAACAGTCGCCTTAAAATGACCGCCTTAAAATGCGGGCAATATGTTAAGATACTCAGAGGCACGGGTATTATTGTTGCTAGGCAAACAATCACTGACTTTCCTAAAAGTAGCACTCTTTGTTATCACAGTGGTTTGTAAGACTTGATGCAGATAATGTACTGTTATTGTTGCCCGTACCTCGGGACTTCTTTAGGCCGCATGATCCGCTTGCTGACGGCCGTCCTGAGATGGCGCCACTCCGGTCCGGTACTACAGAGACACAGACAAAGCACATGACAAAACGACCCATATGCAAAATTCCATTAAAAAGTTTAGATGTAAGATGTACGCAGGTTGAATTTGAAGCGTTTTTTTCCATAGCTGATAAAGCAAACAGGCATCGCTACAGCTTGTGTTTACTTCAGCCAAGCACAGCAGCTTAGATATAGTCGATACTTCTCGATACGCCAGTGTGTTCAGTTCTTTAACGTGTAGAGGTTTGGACTGAGGCTGATGCCTAGGTCTCCGACAGGTTAATTTAATTGTACATGTTTGGTCCGAAATGTCGAACGCAGCCGTCCTCAGCCTATGCCCGAGCGAGCTTCAAACTTCTACCCTCTGAATTCAGGGGATTCGACATATTTTGACGCAGCAGATGGGTTGGTTACGTTCCTTTTGTTCTGCTCTTTCCCGCTATATTGTAACACTATCTGACTTCTACTCAAAGCTGTGACAATGGGTAATCTCCAAGTATATCCCTTTCGGTGGCAAGACAGTATCCATTAGCCAGAGGAGTTTGTCCGTACAATCTCCTCTGGCTAAAGGATACTATCTTGCCACCGATCTCGATCTTGATCTAGATCAAGTGGGATCTGTTTGGAGATTAACGATGGGTGCTTACTGGTTGATGAGCCCGTAGGAGTACCCCCTCAAGTCCCGGTATAGCTGCATGCCGTTGTTCACCTCCATCCGCTTGGGGTACTTCCCCTCCTGGCGCAGGAGCTGCTCCGCCAGCGACACGTGCGCCACGTTCACGTTATCATTGAACCCGAAGGACGAGCGCCACATCTGGCCGTACTTCATCTCCAGCTCCATCTAATCCAAACAGCGAGAGCAAAATAAATCATTACACGCGAAGGCACGCGCGCACGCACGCACACACGCGCGCGCGCGCGCGCGCGCACACACACACACACAAACACACACACACTCACGCGCGCACACGCACGCACACGTACGCGCGCGCACACACAACACACACACAGAGACACACTCACTCACTCACGCACGCACACACGATCACACACACGTACACACGCACGCGCACACACACACACACACACACACACACACACACACACACACACATACAGACACACGCACACACACACACACATTCTCACTCTCACTCACTCACTCACTCACTCACTCACTCACACTCTGACTCACTCACTCAATCACACAAACACACACACACACACACACGCACACGCACACGCACACGCACACGCA